AGAGATGACAAGTGAGGAAAATAGAACATGAACTAGAAATGACATCCATTTTGTTCTCATTTAGGCCAACTATAGGATTAAAGGCTTGGTGGAATTCGGCTAATTCCAAGTTCTAAATTACTTTTACATCCAAATATTGAAATTTACTCAATTCCATAATTTAAAATGAAATCTCTCTAACCAAATATCCATAATATTTTCTTTTTCTTTGTGCACATGTCATGGTCACTCTTGATCATATATTTCTCTTATTTAAAAATTTCAAAGCTCTTGTATTCTCTACTGAATCTTGCTTCTGACATTATAAACTTATGAAAATATAGGTTACTTTTTCAAGATAGTTTGTCCATGTAAACTTGTTCAATTGAAAAGGGGAAAAAAATCTTTTTGAAATCTAGGAATCATTACATGGATCTCTACAACTGAAACTAACCTTGGATAAAAGTTACGGGCTCAAGGTTGATGATGTTGATATTATGTATGCAGTCTCATGGAAAAGTTAGGGGAGGTATAAGTCTTGTTTGACAATCAGAAAGTAAATAAAAAATAGAAAGTGAAGCGAAAGTACTTTTTTCGCAAAAAGTACTTTCTTTTAACTTTTCGCTTATAAATCTTATTTGCATGAAAGTGAAAATGTGGAAAATTGGGGTGGCTGATGACATGGCATCCATTTTATGAATTTATACACATTTATTTTATATGGAAATTAGATTGTGAAAAAATTGATATTTTTAACACTCAATTTAGCATATATAAAATGAAATAGAAATATATAGTGACCATTGTAAGTGAAGCCCTTGAAAATGTTATTTAAATAAAATCATAAGGAAATATACATAGTTGAAGGAAAGTGAAAGCATAGGAAATTAATTTTCTACACGGCATATTTAAAAAGACTAGCTTAGTAGATTTCTGCTGATGCTAAACCATGAGTACATAATTTCTCATATGTTAATCTACGGAAATTTTCAAGTCATAAACTTTTTCCGAGATGTATATTTGGATAAAAATCATGCACTGAATGGTTCAAAAGTGTAGATAACGATAAAGTGGAAATTTGCTTGGAGATGACATGTGAGACGAGTCCGGGGGACTTAACGAGATTAAAAAGGTTAAAATAAAGACAATCAATTTGGAAAGTTTGGTTGCACACTTTTTGAGAAAACTTTTCTCAAAATATCTGACAATGGTAAATTTGTAATTAAAAGTTTTCTAGAGATTTCTGTAAATTGTGTTTGGTTCAACAAAAAATTTACAGAAATATTTTCTATAAACTATCAAAACCTACCAAATTTTACAAAAACCAATTTCCTCTCAAAATGAGAGGAAATCACCAGAAATCTGACACATACCATATTTAATTAAAAACCTACCAAATCTTGTTATTTTCTATAAAGTTATGAGCTATTTTCTTGTTTTGAACCAAACAAGCAAAGTACAAAAAACAAGAAAATTGGTACTTTTTGATTTCTCAAAACTTTTCCTATAATTTTTTTTAAGAAATACAAGGAAATCATATTTTAGGTGGAAAATATTTCCTATAATTTCTAGAAATTAAACCAAACACCCCCTTATAATATAATTTTATCTTTCCTCTTTTTATAATTTTCATCCACTTTCTCTATTTTTTTAGAAAGTGAACGGACAAAGAATGTGATGTAGTATCTTTCACTTCCCAATCATTTTCCATATGGCAAACAATAAAAAAGTAGAAGGTAGAGTCACTTTCTAATTTTTGTTCTAGTTTCCAGTTACATTCATGTTGCCAAGCACGTCTTAGTGATAAAAATAAAGTCCGATGTTTTTGTAAAATTTACCCCTATAAATACGAAGGGTGACACTTACGAATTTAACTGAAACAATATGGTACTTTTTCTTTTCTCTCTCATAAGAGATTGCAGATTTAATTTATTTTCTTGTCTTTACTTGTTACTATGCGAGGTTTCTTAACCAATCTATGGGTCTTTTTAACTATGGATCCAACATTTCTCATGGCATTCTTTCATTGGTCGACGCATCAAACCCTCTGCTGTTTGGCTCTCCCACCTTCCAAAACTCACTTAATTCCTAGTTTGACGATATTCTGTCGGCACATATTAGCATTTCTCTCTCCTGTTTGGTGCCTTCTGACGTAATCTACTCAGTTACCAAAAATAAATCTTTAATTCGCTCTCCTATTGGTCAAAATCATGATCACACCCCCCCATTCCTTTAAGATGATGTTCTCTATAAATACCACCAACTCCTCCAACCAAAAGCAACTCAAAACCAAAGTCTCCCATTCCTTTAATTGTCATTCTACTACACTCTCATATATATATCAAATTTCGTACTTCATTCTCTTCTTCAATCAAATTTCAATTCCTCCTTGATCAATCATGTTATCAAGAAAAGTTATGTGTAATTCCCACGGGCAGGATTCTTCGTATTTTCTTGGATGGCAAGAATACGAGAGGAATCCATATGATCCGGTTCATAATCCATCGGGAATCATTCAGATGGGACACGCTGAGAATCAGGTTTCCATTGTATTCTCATCTCTGTGAAATATTGCTAGTTATTCTCTTCTCTTTGTCTCGACATTGTTCTCACTTTCTTCTTTCTTAATTTTGATCTTGTGCAGCTATCTTTCGATATTCTCGAGTCTTGGCTCGAAAGCAACCATGAGGTTGCTGAGTTCAAGAGTGACCGTGGAGCGTCGGTGTTTAGAGATATGGCTCTGTTCCAGGATTATCATGGCCTGACCGCCTTTAAAAATGTAAGCCCGTTTAATGAAGCGAGTTAATTAAAGTGTTAGTGTTTGCTAATTTTCGTCTCATCCTCACCATAAAACCCATGTCACTTTTCAAGTTTTCTTTTTC